TTTCTTATCCAGCAGATGCACTGTAAGTGCAACGATAGATAAGTATCCGGGAGCACTGCAAAAAATACCCAAGAATTCTGCGCTCACATGTCTGGTTTGGACCCTGACAATCACGTGCGACTCGGCATGCCTGTCTATAGCTGCATGTGTTCTACCGATCTCTCGCAAGCTGTAGGTCGGCCGGCCCTCTGGCAACCGGCCTCTCGCCGCTGGTGCTTCGAAGTCTTCTGGGATGACGTCGTCCTCGCCGGGAGCTCTGTGAGTCGCCCAGACTGGCATCTTCCAGCTAAGCCATGCAGCGGATCAGCTCTGGCCGAATGAATTCAATCAAGTCAACTTTGCTTCCTGCCCTTGAAAGAGTACTTCCTTCTTTTGCTCTACTTTTGGTGTTTCTCTGGCTGTTGTCTGACTGTTCCCAGCAGGAGTCTTGCCGGTCTTGCTCATTTGCGCTTGCGACACAGACATTCAACAAAGCAAGCCGCGCAAAAAGGCACTCGCAAGTCCCCGAATCCCCGAAGACGCAGACCCAACTCGTTGTCGGACGTAGCCCACTCCGAGGCATTCCGGCCTCCTCCTGATCTGGATCTTCTTCCTGGCTGATGAAAATTTCAGTGTTAAGCACAGTCCACAGCCCTCGCGCCAGCCTGGGCCTCGGGATCTGCCCAGGTCATCGGGACGAAGCAGGTGGGGCCTAGGCCAATCTGCACAAACCTGGGGTTCTCTCGCCAGTGTGCGGAACTCTTGCGGACGTCCCAGGCACAACCGACGCCACCGCTCGGCAGCTGCGGCGCCTGCTCCAGATACCTCTACGGATGTACATGTCGGGTGCTGGAGTGTTTTGTTTGGGTGGGCCCTGAGGGCGCGGCTCTTTTAGACAGTCCTTGTGGAAGCAATGCCCGCACGATGCAGTTGCTTGCTGACGCCGATCCTCTCAACAACTAAACCGCTTTTTCTGCAAAGCAGACCTTCCACAAAACAGTCAAGGTCTGCCAGCCCTGTTCGACTGATGACGTGATACGAGTGTCGCTACCTGCACGTGTCCTCGATGTCGTCCTGGCACAAAGCACACACCTCTGCGACGCCTGAGCCATGGTTTGATTCTGATGTTGGGCACTCTCCAATTACTTCTGGGGCCGGCTGCCGTGACTCTTGCTCGGCATCTTGCTCACAGATCCGGAATCCTCGAGATGCCAACACAGACCACCAAGATGCAGCAAGGTACCTCCCTCACCTTTCCGCAATAATCCAAGGGCCCAGCCGAGGCCTTTAAGGAACCATGGACGATGAGGTACGGGTGGTCTACCTTTTGTGACTTAGTCGGCGGCTTGGCGACATGTTGTGTGGGCAACATGGTGGCGATATGTGGCGATGAGGACGGTTGGGCTGACACTGAAGCCGATGCTTTGGATGCGATGATGTTCAGTGCAACCATGACCATGATCGATACCGCCGTAATGAATGATGCCCTGGACCGCAGCACAATGGTCGCGACAGCTTTGGTGGTGGTGGTGGTGGTG